GCCTCCTGAAGGTGGGGTGATGTGGGTGGGGCAGCCTCGTGGTCCCACACGGGCCGGATGAATGACTTTGGCAGGCCATATCCGGCCCCCAGGCCTTAGTTTGAGGACCTCTGCTCTAAAACAAGATTGAGGAATGAGGGTGACCAGGAGATAAATAAAGGCCCATTGGTAAAATAATGTCAGCTTTCAGGACCAAGGAAGGATGCTTTCCCTGTTGCAGCAGCTGCCTTCTGGAACAGCCTCCCCCAAGAGATGTGGCTGGCTCCCACCCTGATGATGCTCATACTGGCTGTTCTCTCAGCCCTTCAGGCAGAGTGCTGGGTGACCTCCTGATGCCAGAGGCTGTTATACAGAGTTTGCCTTCTGGGTTGTCATTGTGGTGTCGTCCTCCTTGCAATGTTTTTTTTCTTTTTATGCAACCTGCCCAGAGTCATCTGGAGTCAGACAGCCTCTGACTTGGATATACGTAAATAACTAGGAGGCAACTAACTTGATGAAAGTGGGGAGAGGCATTTCATTAAAGTGGGACAGGGCTTGGTTTTCCAGATTTGGGGGCTTGACTTGGAAGGAAGGAAAGGAGTCCCCGTGGATTTTATTCCACTGGTAATTTCTGATTATAGAGGTTGTTGTTTTTTTACTCATCTCTGTTTTAAGGCCATTGAGCCTGCACTGTCCAAAGATGTTCCTATGGTCATTGGCCAGTAATGTTTCCGCCCCATTGAAGTGATACCTATTTATTCACATTTGCATGCTTTCAAGCTGCTAGATGGGCAGAAGCCGGGAAAAGACAGGTGTGCACCCTGTTGCATGATGCTTGGGGCTCAAAGTGATTAAGTATCTTAACCACTGAGCCATCACGCCACTACTTGGTAATTTATTTTTATAATAATAATCATCATCATCATCATCATCATCTTGGTCGATACCTCGGATGCTGGCATCAACCCGTACCCATTAGCAAATACCAGTCAATGGTATTTGTGTCATATTTTTAAATGTTCAGTTGACAGCTTCATGTTTAATGAATAAAGTATATACTGTAATAATATGGCATACCTGTATCTAAAAAGTCATGGGAGCACAAAGTAGAAAAAGTTACCAAAAATGAGGTGGTGAAGATCTTGTGGGACTTTCGAATACAGACGGTTCATCATTTGGAATGCGACACGTCAGATATCACAGTTGTTGAAAACTGAAGTGTACAGTTTATTGATATCACTGTACCAGGAGATGCCAGAGTGGAAGAAAAAGAACTGGAAAGAATCACAAAATATTGCAACCTGGCCATCAAAACTACAGTACATGGCTATGGATGAAGCGTGTAACAG